TCATCATTGTTTATCTCTGAGATATAAGAGGCAGAAGAAAGGAATAAAGGAAGAAGGACTGACCTAGACAATTTACTGACCTGCTTCTTAATAGTCTGCAATTACTTGGAAGTCCACCTGAGCTTGCCTCCATCCTTAATATCACTCTAGAAACTTGCTCCTTCTTTAGGTTGCCAAACCAACATTTATCTGGCTTGTTACCACATTCCTAATTTGTGCTTTTCAGGGTTTCTTTCTTCACTAGCCTAGATATTTGAAAACTGAGGTGGGAGTAATCTGAAGACTCCCTAAGGTTCATGGGTGCCTACTGATTTTGTTGTCTTCATTGAAGCACCTTTGAGCAAGTAGAATGTGGTGCTGATTTTTAAAGGAAACTTTTTTTTAAAAGGAAACTTCCACTATGGCTATGCTGCAAATATGTTGCTAATTTGGAGCTTGTGTCAATCCATGATTGTACAGCTGGGCACCACACAATTACTCTGAATCCCACACCACATGTTCAGAAATAATATAAAATGATGGTTTTGGATTCAAAATATAGTTTAGTAATAAATTGATTTGTGGAAAGAATGTTCTTAAATACACAGTCACAGGCCAGTTTTTTCTGTTTCCTTTCCTTGCTATAAATTACAGAGAAAAGACTGCTTAGGTACTATCAAAATTGGAGTAACTGGGTGAAATGTGATGGGCTGTGATATACAGGAGCTTAGACTTCATGCTCTAATAGTTCCTTCTGGTCTTAAACTCTATGAATCTATGAACCTAAAGGATTCCATAGACTCTGAGATACAATTTCTGAGTGGAAAGGGCCACACAGTAAGATCTGTATGGCTATGGATTTCAAACCACATGCTAGCAGGGTTATATAACTGCTCTCTTGATCAGGAAAAGGATGCTGATGGAGATCAAAGACGCAGCTAACTCTAAATAAAACAGTAACAATGGGTGACCTGCACAGAAACTGATCAAACATTACAACAGAACAAGGTTTACAGAAGCAATTTCCTGACATGTTAAACGACTGCTTCTTGGAACACTTAGTTCCTGAGCACAGAAGAGGTGATGCTATTCTCTGCTTAGTCCTAACACGTAGCATTTAGTTCAAGTAATCATAGTAGAGTTGCTAAATAAAAGTGACTATAGTATAATCAAGTTCAACATTCTTGGAGGAAAAATTATACCCAACAATAGCACAAAAAGACACAAAACTTTAGAAAGGGGGATTCAAAGAAAATGAGGAAACTAATTGAAAGCCCTGAAAGTCCAAAGTGAGGAAATTCAACTCCTCAGAGTGAACACGTGCACTACATAAGCATGCTAGCACAGAGCCAGAGAAGGAAGGCAATCAGAAAAGGAAGCAGAAAGGCAAGTAAAAACACAACAAGGCTAAATGATAAGGTTCAAAAAATTATTCGAGCCAAACAGGGATTCTTCAGCAAATGAAATCTGAATGCTATTAAAGCCAATAGAAAGAAACACAAACTATGGCAGGTAAAATGTAAAGGCTAAAAGGGAATTTGAAGAGCAAATAAAAATAGTTTTAAAAGTAACAAGCAATTAAAGAGGGTAAGGACATTGCAGAAAAAGTAAATGTTTTTTTTTTCCTTTAGTCCTCACACAAAAGATGCTGGGGAGATATCTACTCCTCTTCAATGAAGATAAGGCACTATCATAGATTGGGCTGACAAAAGAGAAGGTACTGGAACAAATAGATAAATTAAAGGACCACAATGCATCAGGACTGGAAGAGTTCTGGAAGTAGCTTTGCTGCTTACAAAAATCTGCAATTTCTCATTACAATCAGCTACTGCACTGGAGGACCAGAGGACCATACTTGTATTTGAAAGGAGATAAGGGGCACTATAATTCTAGTAGATTAGCCAGGCATGATTTTATTTTACAGAATCTGTGCTGGACTAGAAGGCCTCAACGGAAAAATTGGTTGAAACAATAATTAAAATGAGAATTATAAATGAACATGATGTGATAGGGACAAATCAGCATAGCTTCTGTAAAATGAAAATCATATCTCTCTAATGTACTAGAAGTGGTTGTGTGTATAAATGAGAACCTGCTGACATAATTTATTTGGACTTTAAAAAAACCTATTACAAAAGCTCTTACAAGAAGTTGTTAAAAAAATTAAGTAGTGATGGGATGAAAGGCAAGTGCATACAACCAGATTTCTGTGCTCATGCTGAACCCCAGTGACTTCAGTATGGCTATCTGTGTTATATGGCCCTCATCACAACAGTATCTTCAATCAGTGGGTCTGAAGATGTGCCTATGTGACAGAAAACAAAGAGTTGGGGAAATTACTCAATTATTAATATGGAAATAGGTTCACAATGGGGTGTCTCAAGGTTCTGTATTGGAACTGATGTTGTTTAATTTATTTATCAATGATCTGGAAAGCAAGCTGAGCAGGTAAGTGGCAAAATTAGCAAAAGACATAAAGTTATTTAGGTTAATCAATTCTAGAGAAGATTGTGAGGAACTTCAGAGGTACCTAACAAAGGTAGGTGAATTTCAGTGTTGACAAATGCAATGTGATGCACATTGGAAGGAAACATTTGCATTGTTCGGATACATTGCTGGGCTCTAAACCAGGGGTTCTCAAATTGGGGGTCGGAACCCCTCAGGGGATCATGAGGTTATTACATGGGGGGTTGCGAGCTGCCAGCCTCCACCTCAAACCCTGCTTTGCATCCAGCATTTATAATGGTGTTAAATATATAAAAACTTTTTTAAATTTTATTTATAAGGGGGGTTGCACTCCGAGGCTTGCTGTGTGAATGGGGTCACCAGTACAAAAGCTTGAGAACCACTGCTCTAAACTAACTATAACCATTCAGAAAAAAAGACTTGGGCATCACTGTGGAGTGCTCAGTTGAAATTCCTGCTGAATTTGCAAAGTTAGTCTAAAAAGCAAACTAAATGTTAGGATGGACAAGAAATGGATTAGAAAATAATACTGAAACTATAATAATGCCACTAGGTAATACTCTGTTTATTGCTGGTCAATCTGTACCAAAAAAGACATTGTTGATGGAAATTATCAGTGGCATGTTAAGGCTTTAAATATAGAAAAACTGAAAACACTGGATCTGTTTAGTTTAAAACAATGAATCAGAGAAGATACCATAAAGAACATGAGTACTATAAAGAAGGTAGATCCCACTTGCCCCTTCTCATAGTACTGGAAACAGGATATATTCAATAGAAATGAAAGACAAAAAACGTAAAATTGATAAAAGGAAATACTTTTTATACATAATGTATTATTAACTTGTGGAAATCATTGCTGCAAGATATCACTGATACCAAGAGCTTAGTATGATTTTTTTAAATTAACCATTTAAATGATATGGTGAATATTCAGTTACAGTAGACAGGATTTTTTTTTTTTTTTAAGTTTCAGGACATAAACCAACTGTTAGTTGATGGAGATTAGAAAGATACTTCCGTATGGGTAGGTTATTTCATAATTGCGGTGTCTTGCACCTTCCTCAGGATTATGTGGTATGGGTCACGGTCAGAGAAAGAATACTAAATAGATGGACCACCAGTCTGATCCAGTATGTTAATTACTCTGTTTCTATCTTCCTAATTTACATCTCCAATGTGGACATTTATGCCTCTCACTTATTTATAATAGTTCCTCTTCTTGACATGTGATAGAAAAGTGGTGTAATAAAGGTATATCAGCAGGAGCGGTGGAGAGGCTGATCTTTATTTACTGATGCCAGTCAGGAGAACTGGATTAAAATGTTACCTCATGTGACAGGGATCAGTATCCACTGATTCCAGTGGTTTCTATTAAAGTGGATCGGGATGTGAACAGAAGAGGTTAAAGAGGTTTCTCTGCATCACTTTCAAAGTGTTTGTGTTCCCATCAGAGTGCTTCATTGCTTAGAAGTTAAAGGGGATATTTTGCCAGAGGTTTTGGCCCGTTATATTTTCTCTTCTTTATGCTGCATTTCCCAGGAGGAAACCTGTCATTTTGTGTTGCTGACTTTAGCATGCATTCTTGTTTTTCTCTGTTGCATCATAAATATTTTCTTAAGACCCATTGCTTGACACCAGTCTGCGTTATGCTGTGCCACATTGGAATGGGTGTTCTATTGCTCAGGGCTTCAAGAAGAGACGGAGTCACACATACTTGCGCACTGAAATTTTAAGACGTGTGGTGATAGTTTAAGAATATGCTCATAGAATATTAAACAAACAGCATACTTTCCGGTGCTGCTGCCGAGAGCCCGTACTTCATTCTCTATTACGTGACATGAATGTTTTGAATTTGTTTTCCCCCCTGTACTGCTGCTTGCAGTCCGTACATAGAAACCTAATTTTCCTAGAAGATTATCTGTCCCAAACCCCGTTTTGTATACAGAAAGTATAGTGAAACTCGTCCACACCTAGAAAGAGAGAGAGTTTCACAGGTCAAACCTATACCATTAATGATAGGAACAATATTTTGTTCTTCTGTAGCATCTTCCATGCGAATCTCAATGCCCTTTACAAACATTAATGACTCAAAATGACCTGTCAAAATAACATTTATTATGATTTCTGTTTTCAGACAGGGGACCTGAGCTACACAATGTCTTGCCCCAGCAAGTTTGTCATAAAGCTAGGAAAGCTTTTGCCGAAAGGTTGTCATGGCCACCGTCAGTTTTGACCCTTCGGAAAAGGCAGCCTGGCTGTAAATGTGAGATCCCTTGGGGTCGCAGCCAGGTAAATATGGTGGGCCTGGTGTAGGTTTAGCGAACAACAATGCAGGCTCCAGACCCGCAGAGAAGAGGCAAATCCTGGCTGGGAAGTTGCAGAAGGGTCGAAGGCCTCCGAAGGGGTCTGTAAGCCCCCTTGGCTCCCCACTACCCTCCCCCCTTTTCAACCACACCACTGAGGCGTGCACCGAGCCTGCACGCAGCTTGGTGGCACCAGACACCTCCCTTTCCCCCTTGGTGACTCCGATCCCGGCCCGGCTGCTCCTCCTCCTGCTCCGCAGTTTGCCTCTCTCCGCAGCCACGGCTGTTTTCAGTCGGTAGCGAAGCGGAGCCGATCCCGAAGCTGGCTCAGTGCGCCCGGAGCTGGAGCGCAGGCGGGCGGGCTAGGTGCGCGCCGCGGGCGCCGCTTGGTGTGGCTGGCCCTGCGGGGAGGAGCGTCAGGGGCAGGCTTCCTCGTCCCCAGCGCCCCCTGCATGGACGGGTGGGCCGCCGCCGCGCCCCCGAGCCCCGCGCCCGAGCCCTAGTGGGACCTCTCCAGCCCAGGGAGGGGCTGCCCAGAAGTTTGGGAGGCGCTCGGGAAAGTTTGCTCCAGGGGGGCCGCGCGCTGCGGTCCGGGGAGGGAGGGTCCCCCTCCACCCCCAGCGGGTCTCTCCAAAGCGCCCGCGGCAGCATGGCGAGGGGGGCAGGTCGGGAGGAGGCCGCCTGGCCGGCTCGCTGCTCCTCCGGCAGCCGGAACCCCCGCTTCCTCTCCCGCTGGAGTCGGGGCAGCGCTTTCCAGCGGCCCCTCTGGCTGGTTTACATGGCGCTTCTCTGGAGGCTCAGCGCGGCCGAGACGGAGTTTTCCATCTTGGATGAAGCGCAAGTTTTAGCAACTCAGATGAAGAAACTTGCCACAGAGGAGCTGGGGGTCGTCACTATGCAGGTACTGTTCCCGCTCCACGCCTCCTCTTCCCCTTGCCCGTTTCTCTTCACTGCCCCCCGTTCTCTTCCCCAGTGTGCGCTCGCTCGCTCTCTCCTGCCTCTGCTCCTCTCTCCCTTCATCCTTTCTGCCTGGTTTTCTTTCTTCTATCTGGCTCCTCTTCTCCCACTTTTCGTTCCCTCTTCCTCTCGCTCCTCTGCTTCATTCCTGTTTGTTCTTTCCATTTTTTTTCTTTGCAAACTTCCCTCCCGTTTGTTCCCCCCCCCCAACCCCCGGTCGCCTTTCTCCACCGCGAGCCCCTCACTTCTGCCCCGATTTGCAGGGAGCCGGTGAGAGCCCTGTGGCTGTGGAGTCACTCCCCCAAGCCCGGCGAGGGGACGCTAGCTCTTGGTGGCCACAGTTTCCCCCACCATGCAGCTTTGCCTGACACACAGAGACCCTCCCGCCCCCGGTCAGTAGGGGTTGTTTTTTGGTGCCATTTGCTGATCAATAATCCCCTGGATCGTTGTGGTTTAGTGCATCGTTGTAAAATCTTGAAACATGACTCCCCTGTTCGAGGCTCTTGCCTCGTGGGGCAGGGATACTTTGTATTTTATGAGGGTCTTGAAACTGGCTATTTTGCATACTTTTGTCTCTTCAGTTTCAGGGACCTGTACCCTTTGTGAGGCAGAGGACAGCTTGATCCTAGATAAATCTTTAGGTGGATTTGATTATTGTTTTAAAACTCAAGAAGCACTTCCTCCTTGCAATTTTTCTGTTTTTTGTTTATATTCATGACTATATACAATTCCTGAAAACTGACCAACAGTGTGTGTGTGTGTATATATATATATATTCTGAGCTCTTAAATTAAGAGTACTAGTACTTTGATTTCACAAGATTCAAAAAGAGGTTTTGAATTGTAAACTTTAGGTTTATTTATAATACAAGCTGTAATTGAAGGTGGATATTTTTAGACTTCTTTAAGTATAGCAATATTTAAAGTTGAATTTAAGTACTAACTTGTTTTGACCAAGGTCCTTCAGGTCCATATACAATTTTAGTTTTTTCATCTCTGAATATCTTTCTTTCTGATGTCAATAAATCAAAAAATGTTCCTTCATGGAAGGACAGGTTTTTTTTTATATATGTGGAATTTACACACAGAGATGATGGGATAGGGAGACCATTCTTTCTGAAGGGAATATGCAATTTGACAAATTTATTATCTTCCTGCATCTCATTTCTTGACATTGTAATTTCTTTCAGTTCAAGGAGGAGAGAGGTGATTAGGAATTATTTGTGTCCTTGCCTTTGTGGTTGCATATTAATGATAGTAAAACTACTGTGATTTCTGTAATCACTGGCTGGAAATGCATAGGATGCTAATAGCTACGTTACAACAATCAACTACAACATGCACACACACAAAAAGTGAAATCAGATCCCAGATGCATTGCAATCCAAGGTATGGGCAATACCAAACGCAGTTTTAAAAGCCTCACAAATTGAGGTGACACTTTTATGCGGTCAGCAGGGGTCCCTCCCCAAATGGCCCTTTATCTTCTCCAAACTGGCTTCATTTTACCACCTTTGAAACATCATTGTGTTGGCTGGCCTCCTAGGGCTGGGGCTTTGTCCAGGAAAATACCAAGCTGCTGCCTTGTCCTTTATGATCAGACATGTATGTAAATGACTTCACTTAACAAGGTAGATAGAAGTAAATTATTAATACAGAGAACATTAAGGAAGTCACTTTTTCTGTCTAGAGAGCTACAGGCATATTTACCCCCTGAAAATTATATATATAAATGGTGGAGCTTCTGGTTAATGGAAATTAAATGAGTATGATCATATTTCTCAACTTATTTCTCCAGTGCAAAAAAACCCTACAACCTTCTTGACAAGTGCTAGCAGCTTCAACACGTGTCTTCTTTGGTTTGTTTTTAGGTTTTCTTTTTTAAAGGCAGCTCACATAAAACATATATGCTCAAAATTATCTTCCATAACGACGACACATCGTGTTGTAGGTAGGCATAAAATGAACCAGGTTCCTCCACAAGAATTGTAGCTGGTCATGGCTGTTGGCTTAGGAAGCAGGCTTGATGCCGGTGTATAGGTATGCAAAATAACAACACTAAATGCTATGCATTTATTGTTACTTGAATCGTGTGAGGCCAAAAGCAATTAATACAGTGAAGCCAATAGTTCACAGGATGAGCCCTAGATTCTTTAAAATATTTTGGCCGTTTTAAGTCCCATCAAGCTAATTTGAACGTTCCCCACTTCCTCCGTACATTTCTACAGCTGTTTCAGATTAAAAACTGGTTGAAAACAAACTTCTCATGATTTTAGAAGCTTCTCTGATGATCTCTTCCTACAGTTGAACAAAAATCTTTATAACATTTCAACTCTTTAAATTTAAGCAGTTAGTCCTCAAAAAGGGCTGCATGCAATTAATACAGAATTATTATCTTTGGTATTTACGTAGTGCTGTTAGTGGGCTATATGGCAGGAGAGCTGTGCCAGTCAACGTGTTCCATGTTCTAAACAGCTGTCACTCTGTGGGCAAAAGATTGTTCTGTATTGCACTATATAGTATAACAATGCGATCAGGTGGTCCTTATAACTGGAAGGCGTTCAGGAACAAATGAGGTTTAACCAAGATGGTCAGGGAAGTAACCCCATGCTCTGGATGCCCCTACATCTCTGATTGCCAGAAGCTGGGACTGCATGATGGGGATAGATCACTTGATAATTGCCTTCTTCTCTTCACTCTCTCTGAAGCATCTGGCACTGGCCACTGTCAGAAGACAGGATACTGGATTAGATGGACTGTTGGTCTGACTCAGTATGGCCGTTCTTATGGGGTTTTGGAAAAAGAGTGAGGGAGCTTTGTGTATCTTAATTGGGAGGTTGCTCTAAGCATAGAGGGTGACATGGAAGAAGGCCCAAAAGCAGGAGTGAGTTAAGGAGACAAAGGAAATGGCTAGGATTAATGCTTGGGCAGAGTAAAGAGAGTGATAGGGAATGTAGGAGGAGATGAGGGACGAGTTGTGGAGAGCCAGGAAAGTAAAGAGGGGAAACTAGTGTAGACACCTAGATAGGATTTTGGGCAGCAGCGTTCAGCGTAGACTGGAGTTGAGAGGAGCTAAAGGTTGCAATGCTTAAGGCATGAAATAAATAGGCTAGGTGTAGTTTGTGGCCAGGTGGGATGGAGAGAGAGAGGGATGGATTTTTATTTTTTGAGAGAGTGAGTGTACATAGAAAAAGAAATGGCAGGATTTGACAAGAACCTGAATGTGAAGAAAGGAGAGAGTGCGAGAGGCGTCGGTGGTGACGCCAAGGTTATGAGCTTTGGTGATGGGAAGGATGGAGTTGGGAGGTAGAGAGCAAGAGGCCTTTGAAGGAACAATAAGTTTAGTGGCTGCATCGAGTCTGAGGTGGCAATGAAATATCCAATGAATGTCAGGCTGCAGTATCAGAGAGGCAGGTGGAAATCCGTAAATAGACTGAAGGCGAGAGGTTGATTTGGTGTATGTGAATCTGGGAAAGTCAGAAGAGGAGAAAACTGAAGGTGGGACCACCAAAAGAGAAAAGGAGGGAGGATGAGGTGAAACCTCCAGAAGAAACGTTAAAGGAGCATCTGGAGAGGTAAGAGAGGAACCAGGAGAGCACTGAGCCTTAGAAGCCCATGAAAGGGGAGGGTATATATAAAAGTCAAAAGGTTGGCGACATGGCTAGTATTATAAACAAAATCTGTCTCCTTGATGCTATATCTACTTCCTCTTAATACAGTTATTACAGCACTAATATGAAGAAAATGTATGTCAAATATTGATAGGAAGACTCATTGTTTTTATGGACTCGTGTTGAAATCCTGTTATATAACATTTACCCTTTATAGTTTATTTTCTAAAAGCAACAAAATCCTATTGGAATGAACGGGATGCGTGCATCTGTGCATAGGAAGAATAATACTGATTCTGCATGGATAGTAAGGATGATAGAGAGTTGTTGCGACAGCATCATTCTGACAGTTGTCTTGGCACTAGTACAACTGTATCTTGTTTGTAGACGGTTAGCTGACAGGCATCAGTGCAGAAGCTGATTTTTTTTTTTACCAAGTTTTATGTCTTTAAACAAAGGTCTATCGCTGTAAGTGTGTTGCTTTCAAATTAGCCTTTGAATGTATAGAATATACCATAAACAATATTGCAAATAAAGATACTTGTAAGAAAAGATAACATGGCTGTGTGATTTCTTGTGTGAGGAGCAGCATTCCGTGGGCAGGTGGGACAGCGGTTTTACATTTATTATTGAATAAATATGTGCCCCCATTACAAATATACTTTGTGGAATATTGTATCACAAGTATTATGTAGAAATATGTTTACCGTATGCCTTTGACAGCACTCTGGGCTAATTCTCTGTTGATGTAGTAATATCTAGCTCTTCTATAGCCCTGTCCATTGGTTGATCTCAAAGTGCTTTACAAAGGAGGGGCAACATTTAACCTTTTGTAAATTGTTTCACCTGTGTAGTCTGTTTCCCCTGTTGCTTGCCCAGGGAGAGGAAAAACTTTTTCAAAGAAATGTGACTGTAAACTCACAGTGGGATTCTGGGGGAAGCATAGTACCTGAAATTACAATTTACTTACTCACCTACTGCTCCCCAAACCAGTAGCTAGACTTCAAGTTGACAAAATCCCTCTGATTTTACTGTGAAATTTTGTTTTGGCAATTCTTCTTCTTTCATATGGCTGGTGCTATTGGGGAGGTGGGTGTAGAGCAGCAATTACAATATGTTTTAGCAATGATGGGTATTCTGAAAACACCTGATGCTTAAACTGGCAATTTAAGTTGTGTGTGTGCTCCAAGTGATTTTAAAATGCGGACATATTACTTTGCATCATTTGGTAGACCATACATTTAATGGACACTATCTTAATGTCACAAGCCACAAAAGATGGTACTTTGCTGAATGAACAGGTTAGTGGGCAAATTTTGTATATTCTCCTGAGT